AAAGCATCATGAGCCGGCATCCCGCAGGTAATCGCCAATAAGGGCGAAGTCTAAATTCTCGTGGGTGGTGAGACCTAACAACAAGCAACGTGGTGGTCGTGAGCAAAGCGCCTCGGCACGAAAAGGGAAGAATCGCGTCCAATTCTCTCTTACCGTGCCTGCCAGATTGACGCCAAGTTTAAAGGAATGCCCGCCCGACGGTGGCTTGCCTCCTAGATGTAGTAGATGTAGATTCTGCCGTAGACACTCTTGTCCACGAGCACGTTGAGATGGGAAGGTTGCTTGTTATTGCAGAAGCGGGTCTGCTACAGGTCTGAGGTGAGGCGGATTGCCCTCAACCTGGGGGCACGCAGATAGCTAAGTCCCGATGGGGTACGTCCTAAGAGGGTATACCTCCTGACGTCCCCCATCTTAATCTAGACCGACTGTGTACCCTATCTGTGCCATACAGCAACACTCCTTAACACGGTGTTGTTGTTGTTGTTTTGACATTAAAAACCATCCCGGTCTCTCTATCCAGTACCTCCTTCTGTCTCAATCTCCATATAAATGCTCGTAACTCTCTCAATTTTTGCACTTCAAGGAAATCAATTCTGCCCAGGCAGCCGCCTGGCGTAAATCTCGCGGTGTTGTTGTTGTTGTTTTGACATTAAAAACCATCCCGGTCTCTCTATCCAGTACCTCCTTCTGTCTCAATCTCCATATAAATGCTCGTAACTCTCTCAATTTTTGCACTTCAAGGAAATCAATTCTGCCCAGGCAGCCGCCTGGCGTAAATCTCGCGGTGTTGTTGTTGTTGTTTTGACATTAAAAACCATCCCGGTCTCTCTATCCAGTACCTCCTTCTGTCTCAATCTCTCCGTACTAATCCAGCACTTGACTCGGTCGATTTCCGTGGTCACAGGCTAACGTACCTAGAAAAGGTATACCAAAATAATATAATGGGTACCAAGGAAGGGTTAGCAGAGCGATAAAATACAAGAAAACAAAAGAATCAGAAACAAATTAATAA